TCCTAGGAAAGCCTCTTTTCTGGGGTGCTCTCCGTCGGGTGTGTGGTACGGATCACTGGGCTATGTGTTCCCGCTCTGAGGACACCGCCGTGGGGGAACATTTTCCTTGGGCATCCAGTCTCAGCTATGTTGTGGGACTGGGGGGTTTTCTCGGGGGCTCTCTCTAGGTGATGCGAGGGACATTTTCTGCTGAAATCACCTGAACCAGGACATAGGGATCCTGCCTTGGTTGCCTGTGTCAGCCTCGGGTTTAGGGGTGTGTCTTCCCCGCTCAGTCGCAGCCCTGAGGGGAGACTCTGCCTTGTGGACTCTGCCCGTGCTCATGGGCCGGGGTGGGGGTGTCTGTGCCCCAGACGCACTATCACCTCTCTGTGGGGTCACTGTCGTGGGCTTTATCTCAGCCCGCGAGGGACTCTTTTCTTCGAGTGCTGATGTCCTCTGTGGGGCGCATTTGTCTTTGGATGTTGCTCATGCTCAGCTAAGATGTGTTGGCCTTTCTTGGGTTCTGCTCGTCCCGGATGGGGATGCTTACCAAATGCTTTCCCTTGGTGCTGGTTTTTTTAATTATCTGTGGGTGCTGTCTCCCGGTGCTGCGGGGGCGTGGGGTGCTTGTTCCTTGGATTCTCTAAGCCTACAGTGGGACACGGGGAGCTCTGTGTCGGCCATGAGGGAGGCCACCTGACCCTGGGAGCTCTGTCTCGCCCCGGATTGGGGTGCTTTTCCTCCATTGGTTGATCTCAGTTCTGAAGGAGCTCTTCCCCGGGGTACTATCTGACCTTTCAGCCACAGCCTGGGGTGTCTGTGTGGGAGTCGGTGTACAGAAATATTCGAAGATTGTGCCACATTCACACACTCGCTGTACAGTTAATCTTTCATTCCAGTTGCTCTGAAGGGTGTGCAGTGGTCTCTCCTTATGTCTGCACTTGAATTTCTCTGCTGATTGAGAATGAGCGCATCTTTTTAAAAATTGTTTTAATTAATTAATTTATTTACTGTTTATTTATTGATTGATACTTGTTTTTGTTTTGAAATGGGGTCTCCCTCTGCCTCCCAGGGTGGATACAGCAGCACTTCCACCTCCCGGGCTCGAGCAATTCTTGTGCCTCAACCTCTGGAGTACCTGGGACTACAACCGTGCACCGCCATGCCCGGCTAATTTTTGTATTTTTTTACGCAGAGAGGGGTTTTGCCAAGTTGCCCTGGCTGGTCTCCAACTTCTGGCTTAAGCGATTCACCTGCCTCAGCCTCCCAAAATGCTGGGATTACAGGTATGAGCCACCAATCCCAGCTATTTATTAATGGTTTGGGAGCACGTTTTTATGTATTTATTGTCATTTAACTGTGCCCTTTAGGAAGTTCCTTTTCCAGCCCCTACCCCCAAATTTTACTGAGATGTTTGTACTTTAAAAATGGATTTACATATTTTCCGGATTTCAGTTATACACACATACACACAGGCATATATGTACATAGATAGAATACACATATAATTTTAATGTCTTCTATAAATCTGTTTTGCTTTTACACTGTCTTGATAAAGTGTTTTTGATGAACAGACTCTTAATTTTATTACTCAGTGTGTTATTTATGGCTACTGCTTTTTATTATTTTAAGAAAGATCTTTGCCTTGCCCAATGCCATGACGATTATATTCTGTTTTCTTCTAGGTTTCAAATTCATCTCAAATAAATTCTCGTTGAATGGAGTAAAGCCAGAGTCTGGGTGTGTTTTACGTGTTTATTAGAGTCATATATAAATGTGACTGTCATGAAGTGTGTATTCAGCTCCCCCTCAAGTTTTATTGGGATGTTTGTTTCTTAAAAATTGAAGTGTAGTTCTGGATATGTTGTGTATTCCACTCGTTTTTTGTCATACATACATACATAGATACGTATATATATGTGTGTGTGCTTGTGTGAGTGTGGTTAATATATATTTTTACATATAACCTATACAATCTAATCTATGATATGTAATCTACAAATATGCTTTGCTTTTTCACTGTCTTAGTAGTGTCTTTGGAGGAACAGACATTTTCCATTTAATTATGTCAAATTAAAGAATTCATTCTTTATGGTTAGTGCTTTTGTATCCTCATTAGAAACATCTTTGCCTGTTCTATAGTTGTGAAGATAATATCTCAAGTGTTTTACTAGATTGTCTCTCCATCTTTAATAATGTTTTTTGGAGCGGATGAGATAAGAGTCAAGGTTTATATTTTCCCTGCATTTATAAAGTGCATTTATTAAAAGCACAGCCCTTTCCACAATGATTTACAGAATCTCCTTTGTGGTAAATCTCGCTCTTTTGTGTTTCCAGACTCTGTGTCCTCTTCCTTTGGTGTATTTGTCTGTCATTGCTCCAATACTACACTGTTTTAATTACTCTACCCTTACAGTAAATCTCATATTTAGTAGTGCATATCTACCAAATTAGTTCTTCTTCTTATAGATTGTCTTGGCTTTTCCAAATCTTTAATTCCCATATACTTTTTTCTTTTTCATTTTTTAAGACAGAGTCTCACTCTGTCACACAGGCTGGAGTGCAGTGGCACGATCCTGATTCACTGCAACCTCTGCCTCCTCAGTTCAAGTGCTTCTCCTGCCTCAGCCTCCCGAGTAGCTGGGACTACAGGCATGAGCCAGCACACCCAACTAATTTTTCTGTTTTTAGTAGAGACGGGGTTTCACTATGTTGGTCAGTATGGTCTCAGTCTCTTGATGTCGTGATCAGCCTGCCTCAGCCTCCCAAAGTGCTGGGATTACAGGCTTGAGCCACCGCGCTGGCAATTCCCATATACTTTTAAAAAAACTATCAGCTCGTCAGTTTTTGGAAAATTTATTTTACATGGTGGAATTTTAAGGAAGATTGGCATGATCATTCAGGGAGAATTAACAGTAACATCTCTTAATAATGTCTTCCATTCCATGTAAAGAATACTTTTTCCATTTACTGCAGCCTTGAATTTCTCTCAGTGATGTTTTATAATTATTGTGTAGTGCTCCAGCACATCTTCATTAGATTTATTCCTAAGTATTTGATGTTTCTGGTGCTGTTTTTAATGGCATTTGAAATTTCATATTCTAACTATTTGTTTCTATTAGTTATAAAGAAATACCAGTGGTTTTTATTATATCTAGTAACTTGACTAAGTTTGTTTATTAACCCTAATGATTTTATTCTTTTACATTGTCTATGTACAGAACAGTGTTGTATGTGAATAATAACAGTTTCATTTCTTTCCAGTTTTTAAACCTATTATGTCTTCCTGATGCCACTGCACTTCTTAGATTCTCCAGTAAATTGCTGAATGGATAGTTGATCTTTTTGTCGTGTTTCCAAACTCAGGGAGAAAATACTGATATGTCACTATTAAGTATGGTATTTACCATGATTTTGTGTGTGTGCATATGCTTACCACCATTAGAAAGTTGCTTTCTTTTCTAAGTTACTGATGGTTTTTGTCATGAATAAATGTTAAACATTGACCCATCTATGAAAATAATCCTGTGGTGTTTCCCTGTTTTTTTTTTTTTTTACTTTTTGTTAATGTGGTGCATTACATTTATTGATTTTCAAATGTGAAATCAATCTCGCCTTTCTGCAATATGTTTGACAATGGTTGATGAACGTTGTTTCTAAGTACTATTGCATTTTGTTCGCTAAACTTTTGTTTAGAATTCTTGTGTTTAAATTCAGGGTGATCTTGGCTTGTAGTTTTGGCTTGATCTTATGTCTCCCATTATTGCCCCCTTCTAACGCACACCCTCCAACCCTGCAGCCAGGTCATCGTGTTGGCAGGTAAATGACATCATGCCACATCACTCCTGAAAATCCATCCCCAACTCTCCTAAGCACTCAGAACAGACCGTAAACCAGCTTTGGTCTGCGAGGCCTTCTTCACCCTCTACTAACACGGGTCCTATTCATCTCCTGGCTCTCTCTGCTTATCTCCTTCACTCCATAGTGCCCGGTCCATCCTCACTACAGCCCATACCCTTAGACTCATTGCAGCCTGGAAATCCCCCTCTGCCTCTGCACAGGTAGCCCCACTTCTTCCTCCAATCCCTGCCCAAGGGCACCTCCTGAGAAGGCCCTGCCCAACCAGCGGCAGCTCCTGGGGCTCCCTCTGCTGCTGTCTCCCACAGGCCTGTGGATGTCTTCCCCACCACCAGCCTAACGCTGCTTTCTTTCATTTCCTCATTACGTATGTACTGTCTGACTGCCCCTTGAGGGTGTGAACTCCACAAGGGCAGACAACTTTGCTCTCTGGGCTGTTTACTACTGATCCCTAGATCCTGGCATGCTTCCTGCCACAGACAATGAAGAAATGAAAGAGGTGACAGACCTGGAGTGAAAGGAAAGTCACTTTTCTGAGGCAGAAAAAAGAAAGAGGAAGATCATATGCTAAACGGGATTTTAGGTGATGAGTGGGTATAGAACTTTCAGCATTAACAGCTGCCTATATTTTCTCAGAATATATTTGACATAGCGAGGAGACAGGTTGAGGTGTATCCAAGTTTTCCGGCTTCCAGCTGAGTAAAGCGTGGCAGTTTGTATGTGAACCTGAAAAATCATGATATCAAGTGAAACTTGCTGCTTTCAACTTATAAAGCATGACAAGCTGACACTAACAGATGAGTACCAGGGACCTGTGAATGTTTGTTAGAGTTATACTGTCTTACTTGGTTTCCATATGTATTTATAGAGCCAGAAACTAAGAAATGGTTTTATTGTTTTATGTGTCCTGGCCTCAATTCATCAGGCCTGGGATTTGCCCCTGGTATACCTCCCATCTATGAAATAAATAATTCCCTAGAAACTGAGGAGCACATAGATATACCCAGAGGGCTGATAAAAGACACAGTTCCCACAGCTCAACTTCTCAGTTTGGTTTCCAGATCTGTCCTTCGTGATGTCTATGTGGAGGGGAAAGAACATGGTGAAACTCCAACTGATGGCTTTTGTCAAAATTTGTTCCACCAGAGCTTAAGGTAGCAGTTGGTATTCCAGCCAGCCAACTGGATTCTCGGATTGATGACTTCACTGGCTTCAGCAAACATGGGCTGGTGCAGAAACCTGGTAGAAATACACTTGTAGAAAGAATCATTACCAGCAATTTCTCTGCAGATGACCTAAAATGCAGAGAAATACTCCCTTTTCTAAAAAGCCGAGAAGAAATTAGTGCTGATATAAAATACCAGTTAGTGAAGGAAATTCAATGCTTTGGACAAAGTAAGTAGTATAAGAATGTCTGTTTTAAAAAAATTGAGGAAGTCTCCCTTTCTTTAATTCAGAAGATATGCATGTTGTCTGTTGAGGCTAATTCCTTGCCAGAGTTGAGTTTACCCATAATTTATGGTAATTCGTCTTTTGACTAAAGCACAGTATACATTTTCTTTCTCTTTTCTCACCGGGTTATGGTTTACAAGACTTTCATTCATAGGTAGGTGCAGGTGTCTTTTTTTATTTTTTAGATTTTGTATGTGCAGGTATCTTGATTTAAGCATTTAAAACATTTTAGCCCATGAAGCAGGATTAGTGAGGTATAGGTTAAGCAAGATTCACTTCTATTCTTCTTTGTATTTGATAATACTGAAGTTATTTTTTAACATCTTCAGAATATGAAAAAATCTTCAAATTGCTTGAAGGAGTGCAAGGACCTATAGAAATCAAAAAACAATTTTTTGAATCCAACATCAAGGAAGCAGCAAGGTAGGTAGAGACAGGAACTGTCCAATTTCTTTAAGCACTCGGGTCCAACACAGTACTGGCGGTGAGCATGGGGGAACGGCCTGTGCCTTGAATTTCTCAAACCTTGGCCCTCACTTATACTTACGTCTGTCTCCACAATTACTTAGGTTAATGTCGTCTGAATCTAACTCATTCTTTTAAGCCTATGGAGAATTCAATTCTCTCCATAGTCTGAGGTAGACATTGTCCCTCAATTGACACTCTTTGTATTTGCTAATTACCTCTTTTTAAGAAATGTGTGTACGTACATAGCAGATGCATATATTTCTGGGGTATATGAGACATTGTGATACAGACAACAATGTGTAATAAACACATCAAGGTAAATGGGGCATCTATCACCTCAAGCATTTATTTTTTGTGTTACAGATAATCCAATTATACTCGTTATTTTTAATGTACAATTAAATTATTACTGGCTGTAGTCACCCTGTCATGCTATCAGATAGTTTGTATGTATTAATCATCTGTAGTTCCGACCACCCCACTAACCTTCCCAGCCTCTGGCAGTCCTCCGTTCTACTCTCTATCTCCATTAGTTCAGTTTAAAATTTTTGCTCCCACAAATAAGTGAGAACATGTGAAGTTTGTCTTTTTGTGCCTGGCTTATTCCACTTAACGTAATGACCTTCAGTTCCATCCATGTTGTTGCACAAGACTGAATCTCATTCTTTTCTATGGCCGAACAGCACTCCTTTGTGTATATGTACCGCGTTTTCCTTACCCATTCAGCTGTTGGTGGACACTTAGGTTGCTTCCAAAACTTGGCTACTGTGGACGGGGCTGCAACCAACACGGGAGTGCAGATATCTCTGCGGTGTACTGACTTCCTTTCTCCTGGGGTATACCCAGCAGTGGGATTACTGGACCATATGATTGATCCATTTTCAGGTTTTCGAGGAACCTCCAAACTGTTCTTCATAGTTGTCATAGTAAATTATATTCTCAACAAGAGTGTATGAAGCTTCCCTTTTCTTCACACCCTCGCCAGCATTTGTTATTGCCTGGCTAGACTACCCCTTACCATGCAGGTGCATTTCTGTCTCCATGCTGACTGTTACTTCATCCTTCTATCTCCCACAGTGCTTCCTACAGCATAGGTTCTTTGGCTCTCTTTTGGTTAATGACACGTCTCTTTCTTTTCAGGTATGTGCGAGGAGACTTAATTCCGCACCTTGAGAAGAAACTGGAAGAAATGACATCTGGCTACTTGTCCAAGAAGGAACATCAGACCCTAAATGCATAATCTCTTTAATGATTGAGGAGAAAAGAGGATCAACTTGCTCTTTTTTACAATAGAGTAGGATATGGCTGAAACCTCCTAGCATGTGTTAGTGAATAAAATGGCCTCCCAGAGGCTAAGAAATTTCTGTCAGTAAACGTTGGTCTTTTTCCCTAAGCATTTCATTTGAAAGGATAACTTATTTGTTGATTTTCCCACCTGTGCTGGCAGACATTATTGACCCATCAAGTAAATACTATTACAGTCGTGGTTTCTGCAGCAGCCCACATTGCTGTAACTGTTATTTATAACTGCCTTCTTTCACTACCCATTTCTCTTTCCCTTTGCCCTAGCGAAAGCATGTCAGCTGCTCGTGGTGCTTGGCCTGGCAGAATGACTCAAACCTTCATTACTGAACAGTCTGAACCATTAGATGTCCTGCCTAGATGGGGTTGCTGTAAGTTTTCATTAACTCTAATCATAAAACATGGCAGTACTAAGAAGCTCTCTAGACATATCAGACATACTGTTCCTTAGCCCATGGTGTAGTAGGAACCCAATATTCATTTTTCTTTCCATCACCCGAGCCAGTAGCAGGCCCCCTACTTTGTCTCTTGGTTGAGAGGAATGAAGAGTTCAAAGCGGTCAGCTTGCAGACACAACTTTCATTTGCTGTAATTTCCATTAACTCTAATCGCAAAACACAGGAGGACTAAGAAGCTCTCTAGACATATAAGACATGCTCTTTCTTAGCCTCTGGTGTAGTAGGAACTCCATCTCCCTTTGATTGTCATTTTCCGTCACCCCAGCCAGTAGCGGACCCCCTTCTTTGTCTCTTGTTTGAGAATGAACTTTCCAAAGGGATCAGCTTGCAGACACAACTTTCATTTCAATGGAATGATTTTTGGATCCGCTATTGAAAAAAAAAATCTCTCAATTTGTAACTAAGATCTCTAGTCCAGCAGAGCCAAATGTTTGCAAAAAGCAAAATTTTACTACTAGATACCCAGAAGTAATAGTGAGAGGAGGCCCTCATCTTGCCTCTTTCATTCTTGAAGACATAGATGTGGCTATAGAAAAATAGCTCCATATACTTGATGCTGGGATACAGCATTGCCACCTCCTAGACTGTTAGCCAAGACCCTTAAGGCATTACCACAAAGCTGGAACTACAAGTCAGGCTTTAGAAGATCATTCCACGGTCCAATTGAGCCCGCCACTTCAGGATGGTGAAGTACATCACGAGACTAGTCTAATTGGCTACCATAGGCCTATTGCCATACTTCATTTCCTGTAAAGTGAGATTCCTGTTTAAAACTAGTACAGTGTGGGATACCACGATGGTGGACACAGCATTTCCTAATACCACAATGTTTGTTTTCTTGAAGTACCATAGGTGAGAATGAAAATCCATATCCAGAATAAGTGTCCATTTGAGCAAATCAAAGTGATGCCCCTTCAATTGTGGAAGCAGATTCAAGTAATCACAGTGCTATCTGGAAGCGGACAGACCACTCTGGGACATGGTTTCATGTTGGGGACTCAGTGTTCGTCTCTGCTGCTGGCAGATTGAATAGCGAGCACTGGCTGTACTGACATAGACCTGGTAAATGAAAGTTGATATTACCAAGACCATGGATATCCTCTATCTCAACCACCATAATCATGATGCACTGTTACTCTTTATAATATGGAAGGGTGCACCTAAGGAAGTCTGGAGGTGATTGATGATAGCATCTGGAAACCAAAGGAAGAGGTTGAGCTGTGAGGTAAGTGCATTTTATGTCAACCCCACTTGTATATCTCACTGATACTCAGTTTCTAGGAAATTATCCCATAAAGCAGGAGCATACACCATATAATGATCTAAATCCCCCCAAATTGGGACCAGGAAAGATAATTCAACAAAACCACCTTATACCCTTCATGATACTACACATGCATATGGAAACCAAGGAGGACACCACAACTAATGAAAGAACACACACAGATGCCTGGTAATCGTCGCTGGGATGCCAGCTCCTGCCATCTCATAAGCCCTGATAGAACATTTCACGAGACATTCTCCATTTGTGTTTGGCCATTCTTCCTCTGCTCTTCACGGACATTGTGATTCATGATAGATTGTGGAAACCAAATGAGGAGGTTGAACTGTGAGTTAAGTGCATTATGTCAACCCCACAAGCATACCCTTCTAATAGCCAGTTGTTGTAAAATTATCTAAGAATGCAGGAGAGCATATGCCAGGCAGCCATTGGATACCCCTCAAATTGAGGCTAGGAAAAAATATACAACAAACCAACCTTCTACCCTTCATGAAAATATGCCTGTTTATTTGGAAACCAAGTAGGACGGAACAACTAAGAAGCAGACATACACAGATCCTGGTCCTCGTGGATGAAATTCCAGCTGCTGCCATATCACCAAGCCATGGTGGACCAGTTGATAAGATGTTATCATTTTGGGGTTAGCGGGTTTCCATCCTCTGTCAAAGAAAATGTTTAAGCTGTGAGGTAAGTACATTATGACAACCCCACTTGTATATCCCACTGATGCTCAATTTCTAGGAAATCGTCCCATGAAAGTGGAGGATATGCCAGGTGGCCATCTGAAACCCCTCAAATTGAGCTCACGAAAGAAGGTACAACTGAACAACCTCCTTCCTTTGATGACACTATGCATACATATGAAAACCAAGTGAGACATTCCAACTTATACAGAAACATACACAGATCCTTGGTACTCATGGCTGGAATACCAGCTGCTGCCATGTTAATACACCCTGGTGGAAAAGTTAACAAGATGTTACTAAATTGCAGTTGGGCATTTTCTATCCTCTCCTCACGGATGTTGTGAGTCGTGGTAGCATCTGGAAGCAAAATGACCAGGTCAAGCTGTGACATAAATGCCTTATTTAAACACACAGGTATACTCTTCTGATGCAGAGCTTCTAATAAATTATTGCATGGAGCAGGAGGACATGACGGCAGTGTTCTGAGACCCCTCAAATTGCACTTAAGGAAGAGAATAAAACAAAACCACTTTCTCCCCTTTATGACACTATGAGCGGATATGGAAAACAAGTAGGAAAATCCAACTAATAAGAGAAGATACACAGTTATATGGTACTCGTGGCCAGAAGAGCAGCTCCTGCCATATTAGTAAGCCCTGAAGGAACATTTGACTACATGTTATGCGGTTGCGGATTTGCCATTTTCCATCCTCTCCTCATGGACATTGAGATGGACTATAGCATCTGAAAACCAAATGAAGAGGTTGAGCTGTGATGTACGTGCGTTATTTCAACCACACAGGTACATCCCTCTGATGCTGAGTTTCTAGGAAATTATCAAAGAGAACAGGGGTGGATATGCCAAGTTGCCCTCTGATACCCTTCATATTGAGGCTAGGAAAGTATATACCACAAAATTACCCTCTACCATCGAAGAAATTATGCCTGCTTAGGGAAACCGAGTAGGACAGCACAACTAAGAAGCAGACATACACAGATCTCTGGTCCTCCTGGATGAAATTCCAGCTGCTGCCTTATTACCAAGCCCTGGTGGAGCAGTTGACAAGACGTTATCAGGTACCGGTTGGCTGTTACTTCTCTTCTCTTCACGGACGCTGTGCGTGACTGCAGCATCTGGAAACCAAATGAAATGGTTGAGCTGTGAGTAATTTGCATTATGTAAACCACACAGGCATAGCCCTCAGATGCTCAGCAGCTAGGAAATTATCACTTGGAGAAGAATATACCAGGTAGCAATCTGAGAACCCTAAAATTGAGGCCAGGAAAGATAGTACAACAACACTAGATTCTGTCCTCATGACACTATGCATGCATATAAAAAACAAGTAGGACATTATATCGAGTGAACAAACATACACTGATCCCTGGTACTCATGGATGAAACACCAGCTGCTCCCATATTAATAAGTTCTGGGGGAATAGTTGAGAAGACATTATTGTGTTCTGCTTCAGCATTTTTAATCTTCTCCTCGTGGACGTTGTGAGTGATGGTAGAATCTGGAAAGACAATGAAGACGTTAAGTTTTGAGTTAAGGGCATTATGTCAGCCCACAGGTATATCCCCCTGATGATCAGTTTCTAGACAACTATTTCAAAAAGCCAGAGAGGATATGCCAGATGGGCATCTGAGAACACTCAAATGTGCTCACGATATATAATACAACAAAATCACTTTCTCCTATTCAGGACACTAGTCATGCCTATGAAAACCAGGTAGGATAGTACAAATGAATAAGCAAACATACACTGATCCCTGGTGCTCATGGCTGGGAGACCAGCTGTGGCCAAAAATGTAAGTGTTTGTAGAACAGTCAACAAGTCGTTATTAGATGTTGGTTGCTTATTTTCCAGCTCCTCTTCACGGACATTTTGAGTGACGGTAGCATCTGAAAACCAAATGAAGAGGTTGAGCTGTGAAGTAAATACATTATGTGAACTGCACAGGTATATCCCTCTGATGATCAGTTTCTAGGTAATCATCAAAAAAGCAGGGGTGCATATGCCAAGTGGACATCTGATACCCCTCAAATTGAGGCTACTAAGGTATTTACAACAGAGTTACCCTCTATCATTCATGAAATTATGCCTGCTTAGGGAAACCAAGTAGTACAGCACAACTAAGAAGCAGACATACACAGATCTCTGGTCCTCGTGGATGAAATTCCAGCTGCTGCCATATTACCAAGACCTGGTGGAGCAGTTGACAAGATGTTATCAGTTGCTGGTTGGCCATTATTTATCTTCTCTTTACGAACATTGTGAGTGACTGCAGCATCTGGAAACCAAACAAAGTGGTTTTGCTGTGAGGTAAGTGCATTATGTCAACTACATAGGTTTAGCACTCTGATGGGTAGTATCTAGGAAATTATCTCATACAGAAGAAAGATATACCAGCTAGTAATCTGAGAACCCTAAAATTGAGGCCAGGAAAGACAGTAAAACAACACTACATTCTTCCCTGCTTACACTATGCAAGCATGTGGAAACCAAGTAGGACAGGGCACTGAGTGAACAAACTTACACTGATCCCTGGTACTCATGGATGAAACACCCGCTGCTGCCATATTAATATGTGTAGGGGAAACAGTTGGGAAGACTTTATTGGGTGCTCCTTCAGCATTTTTTGTCTTTGCCTCATGGACAGTGTGAGTGACGGTAGCATCTGGAAACAAAATGAAAAGGTTTAGACTTGAATTAAGTGCATTATCTCAACCCCACAGGTATATCACCCTGATGCTCAGTTTCTAGAAAACTATTTCATAAAATCAGAAATGATATGCCAGACGGCCATCTGAGAACACTCAAATGCAGCTCATGAAAGATAATACAACAAAATGACCTTCTCCCATTCAGGACACTAGGAATGCCTATGAAAACCAAGTAGGATAGTCCAAATGAATAAGCAAACATACACTGATCCCTGGCGCTCATGGTAGGGAGACCAGCTGTTGCCAAATAAGGAAGTCCTTGGAGAACAGTTGACAAGACGTTACTAGGTGTTGGTTGCTTATTTTCGGTCTTTTCTTTGCAGACATTTTGAGTGACGGTTGCACCTGAAAACCAAACGAAGAGGTTGAGCTGTGAGCTAAGTACATTATGTCAACCCCAGAGGTATATCCCTATGATCCTCACTTTCTAGGAAATTATCAAAGAAACCAGGGTAGGGTATGCCACGTGGCTATCTCATACCCCTCAAAGTGAGGCTAGGAAAGTACATACAACAAAATTAACTTGTAGCATTCATAAAACTATGCCTCCTTAGGGAAACCAAGTAGGACAGTACAACTAAGAAGCAGACATACACAGACCTGTGGTTTTCATGGATGAAATTCCGGCTGCTACCATATTACCAAGACCTGGTGGAGCAGCTGACAACACGTTGTCAGGTGCTAGTTGGATGTTATTTATCTTTGCTTCACGGATATTGTGAGCGACTGCAGCATCTGGAAACCAACAGAAATGGCTGGGCTGTGAGGTAAGTGCATTTTGTGAATGGCACAGGCATATCCCTCTGATGCTCAGTATCTAGGAAATTATCTCATAAAGAAGAAGGACATACCAAGTAGCAGTCTGAGAAGCTTAAGATTGAGGCCAGGAAAGATAGTACAAAAACTACATTCTCCCCTCATGACACTATCCACGCATATGGAAACCTAGTAGGATTGTAAACCAATTGCACAAAGGTACACTGATCCCTGGTGCTCATGGATGACACAACAGCTGCTGCCATATTAATAAGTGCTGGGGAACTAGCTGGGAAGGTTTCATTGAGTGCTGCTTGGGCATTTTTAATCTTCCCTCACAAACATTGTGAGTGATCGCAGCATATGGAAATGAAATGAAGGGGTTCAGTGTTCAGGTATGGGCATTATGTTAACCCCACAGGTATATCCTCCTGGTGGTCACTTTCTAGAAAACTATTTCATAAAGCCAGAGAGGATAGGAAAACTATTTCATAAAGCCAGCAGGGGTGAATATGCTAAATGTACATTTGATGCCCCTCAAATTGAGGCTTGGAAATTATAGACAACAAAATTAATTTGTAGCTTTCATCAAACTATGCCTGGTTAGGGACACCAAGTAGGACAGTACAACTAAGAAGTAGACAAACACACACCTCTGGTCCTCGTGGATGAAGTTCCAGCTGCTGCCATATTACCAAGCCCTGGTGGAGCAGTTGACAAGATGGTGTCAAGTGCTCGTTGGCCGTTATTTATCTTCGCTTCATGGACATTGTGAGTAACCGCAGCATCTGGAAACCAAATGAAGTGGTTGAGCTGTGCGTTATGTGCATTATGGCAACCGCACAGGCATACCGCTCGTATGCTCAGTATCGAGGAAATGATCTCATAAAGAAGAAGGACATACCAACTAGCAGTCTGAGAACCGTAAAGTTGAGGCCAGTAAAGATAGTACAACAACAGTGTATTCTTTTCTCATGGCACTACGCATGCATATAGAAACCAAGTAGGACAGCACGCCAAGTGAACAAACGTACACTGATCCCTGGTACTCATGGATGAAACACCCGCTGCTGCCATATTAATACGTGCTGGTGGAATAGCTGAGAAGACATTATTGGGTGCCGTTTGGGCATTTTTAATCTTCTCCTCATGGACATTGTGAGTGATGGTAGAATCTGGAAATGAAATCAGGAGGTTCAGTTTTGAGTTATGTGTACTATGTCAACTCTACATGTATATCCTCCTGATACTCAGTTTCTAGAAAACTATTTCATAAAGCTGAAGAGGATATGCCAGATGGCGATCTGAGAACACTCAAATGCAGCTCACAGAAGATAATACAACAAAATCACCTTCTCCCGTTCAGGACACTAGGCATGCCTATTAAAACCAAGTAGGATAGTCCAAATGAATAAGCAAACTTACACTGATCCCTGGTGCTCATGGCTGGGAGACCAGCTGTTGCCAAATATGGAAGTCCTTGCAGAACAGTTGACAAGACGTTATTAGGTGTTGGTTGGTTATTTTCCATCTTCTCTTTGCGGACATTTTGAGTGATGGTAGCATCTGAAAACAAATGAAGAGGTTGAGCTGTGAAGTTAGTACATTATGTCAGCCCCAGAGGTATTTCTGTCTGATCCTCAGTTTCTAGAAAATTATCAAAGACAGCAAATTTGCATATGCCATGTGGCTATCTGATACCCCTCAAATTGACGCTAGGAACATGTATACGACAAAATGAACTTGTAGCTTTCATTGATCTATGCTTCCTTAGAGAAATCAAGTCGGACGGTACGACAAAGAAGCAGACCTACACAGACCTGTGTTCCTCGTGGATGAAATTCCAGCTGTTGCCGTATTACCAAGACCTGGTGGAGCAGCTGACAAGACATTGTCAGGTGCTAGTTGGCCGTTATTTATCTTGGCTTCACGGACATTGTGAGTGACGGCAGCATCTGGAAACCAAGAGAAATGACTGGGCTGTGAGGTAAGTGCATTATGTCAACCACAGCATACCCCTCTGATGCTCAGTATCCAGGAAATTATCTCATAAAGAAGAAGGACATACCAAGTAGCACTCTGAGAACCTTAAGATTAAGGCCAGGAAATACAGTACAACAAAACTACATTCTTCCCTCATGACACTATGCACGCATATGGAAACCTAGTAGGATAGTAAACCAATTGCACAAAGGTACACTGATCCCTGGTGCTCATGGATGACACAACAGCTGCTGCCATATTAATAAGTGCTGGGGGACTAGCTGGGAAGGTTTCATTGGGTACTGCTTGGGCATTTTTAATCTTCTTCTCACAGACATTGTGAGAGATCATACCATCTGGAAATGAAATGAAGGGGTTCAGTTTTGAGTTACGTGCATTATGTTAAACCCACTGGTATATCCTCCTGATGCTCACTTTTTAGAAAATTATTTCAGAAATCCAGAGAGGATATGCCAGGTGGCGATCTGAGAACACTCAAATGCAGCTCACGAAAGACAATACAACAAAATCACCTTCTCCCATTCAGGACACTAAGCATGCCTATGAAAACCAGGTAGGATAGTCTAAATGAAGAAGCAAACATACACTGATCCCTGGTGCTCATGGCTGGGAGACCAGCTGTTGCCAAATAAGGAAGTCCTTGGAGAACAGTTGACAAGACCTTATTACGTGTTGGTTGGTCATTTTCCATCTTCTCTTTGCAGACATTTTGAGTGATGGTAGCATCTGAAAACCAAATGAAGAGGTTGAGCTTTGATGGAAGTGCAGTGTGTCAACCCCAGAGGTATATCTCTCTGATCCTCACTTTCTAGGAAATTATCAAAGAATCCAGGGGTTGATATGCCATGTGGCCATCTGATACCCCTCAAATTGATGCTAGTAAACTATATCCAACAAAATTAACTTGTAGCATTCATGAAACAATGCCTCCTTAGGGAAACCAAATAGCACAGTACAACTAAGAAGCAGACGTACACAGATCTCTGGTCCTCTTAGATGAAAGTCCAGCTGCTGCCATATTACCAAGACCTGGTGGAGCAGTTGACAAGAGGTTATCAGGTGCTGATTGGCCGTTATTTATCTTCTCTTCGAGGATTTTATGAGTGACTGCAGCATCTGAAAACCAAGTGAAGTGGTTGAGCTGTGAGGTAAGTGCATTATGTCAACCCCACTGGTATGATATCCCTCTGATGCTCAGTTTCAAGGAAATTATCAAAGAAAGCATGGGTGAATATGCCAAGTGCACATCAGATACCCCTCGAATTGAGGTGAGGAACGTATATAGAACAAAATTGATTTGTAGCATTCATCAAACAATGCCCCTTAGGGAAACCAAGTAGGACGGTACAACTAAGAAGCAGACATACACAGATCTCTGGTCCTCGTGGATGAAATTCCAGCTGCTGCCAAATTACCAAGCCCTGGTGGAGCACCTGATAAGACGTTATCAGGTGCTGGTTGGCGGTTATTTATCTTCTCTTCACGGACATTGTGAGTGACCGCAGCATCTGGAAACCAAAGGAAGTGGTTGAGCTGTGAGGTAACTGCTTATGTCACTGCCACATGTATGTTTTCTGACAATGAGATTTAAGAAATTGTTCCATCACACAAGAGGCTGTATCAGGTGGCGATCTGAGACCCTTCAAGTTTAGGTCGGAAAAGATAATACAACCAAAGCACCTTTTTCCCTGCATGATACTGCATGTTTATGGAAACCAAGTAGCACAACGTAGTTAGTAAATAAACATGCAGAGATCCCTGGTACTCGGGGGTTGAATACCTGCTTCTGTGAAATTCCTAAGCCCTGCTGTAATAGTTGACAAAAATTCATGAGGTGCTGTTTTGTCACTTTTTATCTTTTCTTCACAGACATGTTGAGCAATGGTAAAACCTGCAAACCATATGAAGAGTTTCAGCTGTGAGCTAAGTGCATTATATCAGCCCTATAGGTCTATCTCTCTGACGCTCAGTTTCTAGGAAATTATCTAATAAAGCAGGGGAGGATATGCCAGGTGGCCCTGTGAGAACCCTCCAATTGATCCCACCAAAGTATATGCTATAAAACCACTTTGTACCTTTCATGAAATATGCAATCATATGGAAACCAGTGATGACACTACAACTAATTAAGAGACATACACAGATCCCTGGTACTCATGCATGGAAGAGCAGCTGCTACCATATGACGAAGCAGTGGTGGAACAGGTGACATGAGATTACCAGTTTGGGATGGGCCATTTTCCATCTTCTCTTCATGTACATTGTGAGAGATGGTACCATCTGGAAACCAAAGGAAGATTTTGAGCTTGAAGTAAGTGAATTACGTCAATGCCACCAGTATATCCCATTGATGATCAGTTCCTAGGAAATAATACCATAAAGCAAAAGAACACATCAAATAATGATCTGCGGCTCCTCAAATTGAGGCCAAGGAAGACAATTCACAAAACAACCTTCTTCCCTTCATGGCACTATGCCTGCATATGGAAACCAAGGAGGACAGTACAAGTAAAAAATGAACATACACAGATCCCTGGTACTCATTGCTGGAATACCAGCTCCTGCCATATTAATAAACCATGCTAGAATATTTGGCCAGACGTTATCCTGTTGTGGTTGGTCATTTTCCATCCTCTGTTCATGGACATTGTGACTGACGGTGGCATCTGGAAAACAAATGAAGAGGTCAAGATAGGAGTAGGTGCATTATGCCGCCCCCACAGGTATATCCCTCTGATGCTCAGCTCCTGAGAAATTTTTGCACAAATCAAGATGACATGAGCGGCATCTGGGACCCCTCAAACTGATATCAAGAAAGATAATACAACAAGATCTCCATCTCTCCTTCCTGACAATATACATGCATATGGAAACAAAGTAGGAAAATCCAACTAAAAAGTGAACATACACAGACCATCGGTACTCATGGCTGGAATAGCAGCTCCTGCCACATTAGTAAGTCCTATTGGAGCAGTTGATGAGATGTTGCCATGTTGGGGTTCGCCCTTTTCCATCTTCTCCTTAAGGACATTATAAGTTTTGGTAGCATCTGGAAACCAAATGAAGAGATGTGAGTAAGTGTATTATGGTAACTCCACAGGTATATCTGTGCTCAGTTTCTAGGAAATTATCTCATAAACCAAGGGATATACCATGTTGCCATCTGAGACCCCTGAAATTGAGGCCTGGAAACATAGTATAACACAACCACCTCCTACCTTTTTTGACACTATACATGCATATGGAAACCAAGTAGGACAGAAATACTAACACACAAACTTACCCAGATCCCTGGTACTCATGGATGAAATACCAGTGCCTGCCATATTAATAAGTCGTGGTGGACGTGTCAACAACACGTTGTCAGGTGCTGGTTGGACATATCCCATCTTCTGTTCATGGACGCTGTGAGTGATGGTAGCGTCTGGAAATCAAAGGAAGAGGTTGAGCTGTGAGGTAAGTGCATTAGGCCAAACCATAAGTATATCCCTCTGATGCTCACTTTCCATGAAATTATTTCATAAAGCAGGAGGATATATAAGATGGTGTATATATCTGGGGCCACTCAGATTTAGTTCAGAAAATATAATACAACAAAACCACCTGCTTCCCTTCAGAAGGCACTATGCATGCTTATGAAAAGCAAGTAGGACAGTACAACTTATAAGCGGACATATAGCGATCTCTGGGACTCATGGCCGGAATAGCAGTTGCTACCATATTACAAAGCCCTGTGGAATCAGTTGACAAGACGTTACCAGGTTGGGGCTGGACATTTTTCATTCTCTCTTCATTGATATTGTGAGTGACGGTAGCATCTGGAAACCAAATGAAGAGTTCAAGCTCTGAGGAAAGTGCATTATGTCAACCCCACAGGTATATCCCTCTGGTGGTCAGTTTCTATGAAATTAACCCATAAAGCAGGACATATCAGGTGGAAAATGAGACCCCAGAAATTCAGACCAGAAACAATAATAAAACAAAACCACCGTTTTCCCTGCATGTCATTGCATGCATACGGAATCCCAGTAGGACAGTATAACTAGTAAACAAACATACGCTGATCCCCAGTACTCAGGGGTGGAATACCAGCCCCTGCGAAATTTATAAACCCTTCTATAACACTTGACAAGAATCTATCAGGTGCCATTTGTTCATTTTCTATCTTCTCTTCACAGACATTCTGAGGAACAGTAGAATCTGGAAACCAAAGGAAAAGGTTGAGCTGTGATGTAAATGCATTATGTCAGTCCCACAGGTGTATCCCTCTGATGCTCAGTTTCTACGAAATTATCTAAGAGACAGGGTAGGATATGGCTGGGCACGGTGGCTCACGTCTGTAATCCCAGCACTTTGGAAGGCTGAGGCGGGTGGATCTCGAGGTCAAGAGATCAAGACCATCCTGGCCGACACGGTGAAACCCTGTCTCTACTAAAAATACAAATATTAGCTGGGCGTGGTGGTGCATGCCTGTTATCCCAGCTACTCAGGAGGCTGAGGCAGGAGAATCACTTGAACCCGGGAGGTGGAGATTGCAGCGACCGAGATAGCATCACTGCGCTACAGCCTGGGCGACAGAGTGAAAATCAGTTTTGAAAGAAAAAAAGAAAAAAAAGAGAGATAAAAGAGGAAGGAAGGACGGAAGGACGGACCGATGGACGGATGATATGCGGCCATCTGAGACCCCTCAAATTGAGAGTAGGAAAGAAAATACAAGAAAACTGACTTCTACCATTCATGCACATATGCATGTTAGGGAAACCAAGTATTCAGTACTACTAATTAAAAGACATACACAGATCCCTGATACTCATGGATGGAATACCAGCTGCAGTCATATGACCAAGGCATAGTGGAACAGTTGACAAGACTTTATCAGTTTGGGGTTGGCCATTTTCCATCTTCTGTTCATGGACATTTTGAGTGACAGTAGCATCTGAAAACCAAACAAAGAGGTTGAGCTGTGAGGTAAGTGCATTATGACAACCTCACTGGTATATCACTCTGATCTTCACTTTCTAGGAAATTATCTGATAAAGCAGGAGCAGACATCATATAATGATTCGAGTTCCATCAAATTGAGGTTGGGAAAGATAAGTCACCAAAACGACCTTCTCCTCTCCATGACATTACGCATGCATATGGAATCCTAGTAGGATACTACATCTAATAAACAAACATACACACATCTCTGGTATTCATCACTAGAATACCAGATCCTGTCATATAAATCAGCTGTGACCGAACATTTGACAAGACAGTATCTGGTTGCAGTTGACCATTTTCCATCCTTTCCTCATGGATATTGTGATTGACGGTAGTAGGTGGAAACCAAGTGAAGAGGTTGAGCTCTGAAGTAAGTGCATTATGTCAACCCCACAGGAATATCCCTCTGATGCTCAGTTTCTAGAAAATTATCTAAAAAATCAGGAGAGAATATGCCAGGTGGCCATCTGATATCCCCCAAATGGAGGCTAGGAAAGAATATGAAACAAAACCACCTTCTACCGTTCATGAAAATATGCCTGCTTATGGAAATCAGGTAGGATAGTACAATAAAGAAGCAGACATACACAGATCTCTGGTCCTCATGGATGAAATTCTAGGGGCTGCCAAATTACCAAGACCTGGTGGAGCAGTTAAAAACACAGTATGAAGTGCTGGTTGGCCGTTATTCATCTTCTCTTCATGGACGTTGTGAGTCACTGCAGCATCTGGAAACCAAATGAAGTGGTTGAGCTGTGTGTAATGTGCATTATGTCTACCGCACAGGCATACCCCTGGGATGCTCAATATCTAGGAAATTATCTCATAAAGGAGGAGGACATACCAGTTAGCAATCTCAGAACCCTAAAATTGAGGCCAGAAAAGACAATACAACAAAATTACCATCTTCCCTCATGACACCATGAATGTATACGGAAACCAAATAGGACAGTACAACAAGTGAACAAACTTACACTGATCACCGAAACTCAGGGATGAAACACCAGCTACTACCATATTAATAAGTGCTGATGGAACAGTTGGAAAGACATTATCGGGTGTTGGTTGGCCATTTTTAACCTTTTCTTCACAGACATTGTTAGTGACGCTAGCATCTGGAAACCAAATGAAGAGGCTCAGTTGCAAGATAAGTGTGTTTTGTCCCATCATCCCGGTGAGACAGCTATGTATGAATCAGTTTCTATGGAATTATTCATTTCACGAAACAGAAGGACTTACCACATTGAAACACATATCAGGTCAGATTACACAATAAAACTACGTATGTATCTCTTGGCATAACGATGGTATGTAGTAAGTACGACAGTAGAATAAACATTCACAGATTTCTTGCACTCATCATTTTGTATCATTTTGCTGCCCGTTACAATTCTCATTTGATATCGCTTTTATAGTTCACCTATACATGCCATGCTGTGCGCAGCGGGAAAGCCCGACTAAGTGAGGCCTTGTTAACTTGCCTCCTTTCTACATCATATAATCTGAGAAAATAGAGGTGGCTATTGGAGTTGAACACTCTTATCTCCACTCCATCGTCACACATCCCTAGTTTTTACGTGATTCTACAGATCCTCCCCTCTTGTCTGGAAAAGTAACATTCTTTTTACTCCAGGTCTGTCACCTCTTTCATTTATTCATTGTCTGTGGCAGGCGGCATGCCAGGAGCTGGGGATCAGCAGTAAAGAGGACGGAGAGCAACGGTCCCTGCCTTTGTGGGACTCATATCCCCATGGGGCAGTCGGACAGGACATACACAATGAGCAAATGAAACAAGTAGCATTGGGCTGGTGTCGGGGAAGTAGTCCACATGCCTGAGGGAGACAGCAGCAGAGGGAGCCTCAGGGGCTCTGGCTCCTTGGGCAGAGCAATCTGAAGAAGTGCCATTGGACAGGGCTTGGAGGAAAAAGCAGAGCCTTCTGTGCAGAGGCAGAGGGAGAGTTCCAGACTGCGGTGAGGCCAAGGGTAGGGGCTGGAGTGGGAATGAACTGGGCACTACAGGGTGTTAGACAGAGGCAAAGAGAGCCAGGAGAAAATGGATGGGACCCTTGTTAGGAGAGGGACAGTTGAGGATGGGATTTTAGGAGGGAAATGGCATGCTGACATAATTTTCAAGCCACAGGGTTAGAGAGTATGCTACAGATGAGGGAAGATTAGAAAGAGAGCTAAGAAGATGTTGTACTACCTTGGTCAGCGATCACGGCAGTGTGCACTGGAGTGATAGCGGGAAATGGTGGGATGCAGAGTTTATACTGGGCATTGACTGCTGAACTTCATAAGAGATTGGAAATGAGAGAATAATAAAAGAATCATAAGAGAAATCATAAGTGACTTTAAGTATTTTTGGGTGACCTACTAAGTAAAAGTATACCAGGGATGTGCAGGAGGGGTTAGGCAACCGACTACGGGAGCGGAATGCTGCCAACTCTTCCTGATTCTGGTTCAGTGACCTTATGTCGACAGCTTGAACTAGGCCATGGTGGGATTATTTGTACCGTGGACAGCTGAAAACTCTAAAACCAGGACTTCTGAATCCCCCATACCTGTGAACAGCTGCTTGTTACACCTTTGTGGATGTTTCACCTAATGGACAGTGTCTTTAACTGAAACAGTGAAGGCTGTGAGTAAAGTATTTTTGGAGAGAGGGAGGTCAGAAATTTGAACTTGCAGAGCTGGTTGAAATGTAGATGCCTATTAGACACCCTATAGAGATACTACACGTGTAGTTGTTTATGAGTTTGGATTTCAGGAGCAAGTCGTAGCCTAGAAGTTTAATGGTGACAGTTCTTGAAGTGTCAATCATTTAAAATTCTAAGACAGCATGACATCACCTATGGAGATAGTATATTGAAGAGAAGAGAGGCTAAGATCAAGTTTTGGTGCCCTGAAGTATTTAGAGGTGGGAAGGAAGAGGAGAAAAACAAAAAAGGAGAAGGAAAATGAGCCCTTAGTAACAGAGTAAGAAATCCAGGTGTCTGGGGACCCAAGAAGTTTTCCGTGCAGGAGGGCGTAAACAACTGTGTCACATGCTGCTGAGGAATTGATGTCAAAGTGCAGCAAACATGGCGACCTCGATGGCACTATTTTCATTGGAGTAGACTAAGAAGAAGCCATACTGCACTGGGTTAGAGAGGAGTGTGTGGACAGGCGGAAAGTGAGCAGACCTGTCCTCTTGTTGTGCCCACCACCTCCTTCTGCCTCAGGAACCTGCTTTATTCATCTCACGCTTGCAGCAACTGCAAATTGTTGCACCTAATTAGTACCTTGCCCTTCCAGTGCTGAGGCTGCACTTCCCAAAATGGCAGAGAAGTTGTGGCGCCTCCCCACTGCTGGAACTTTCTAGAAACTTGCTCTCTGGGAGTTATGAGAAGTGTGCCCCGGATGCCTGTGAGTGATGCTCATTGGGAGGCGTCCCACCAGAAGCACCAATCTGGTAAGGCTCAAGGGAGGCAGAAGGCAGGGAAGCTGCCGGCCACCGCGGGCCCCGCCCCAGCCGAACACTGGGAGCCTGTTGGGGGGGCCAGAGTCCCGAAGTGAAGCCTCGTGCACTGCGAGACCGCCGGCGCCAACCGGAAGAACCGGGAAGCGTGGCGTCCCCGCCCTTCGCTAACTCTAACCCTCTTTACGCGCAGCCTTCGGTATCGGCAGTACGGCGGACATAGGCAGAGGAACGCGGAACCTCACACAGCGGAATCAAAGGGTGAATTTGGAGCTGACGGGCAAAAACATCTTATAGTATGTTTGTCTGGCTTTGATATCAGGGTAATATTGGCCTCATAGAATGAAGTAGTGTTCCTTCCTCTTTTATTCTTTTGAAATCCTTTGCTAAGTATTGGTATTACTTCTTCCTTAAATGTTTGATAGAATTTACATGCGAAACCACCTCGGCTTGCCTTCCATTTGTGGGGAGATTTTAAATTACTAATTAAATACCTTTCCATGCTATAGTCCTATTGCAAATTTCTATTTCTTTTGAGTCACTAATTTGTTCTCTAGGAATTTCTCTGTTTCACCTACGTTGTTTAATTTGTTGGCATAAAGGTGTTCATAATGTATGTCTTTAAATTTCTCGCTTTCTTTGCGTGTGTGTGCACGTGAGACGGTGTCTCGATCTTTTGCTGAAGATGGAGTGCGGTGGCGCGATCTGGGCTCATTACTTCTTCTGACTTTCTGGTTCAAGCACTTCTTCTGTCTCGGTCTCCTGGGTAGCTGGGGTTACAGGTGGCACCATCACGCCCGGCTAATTTTTTGTATTTTAGTAGAGTCGGGGTTTCACCATGTTGGCCAGGCTGGTCTCAAACTCCTGACCTCAGGTGATCCGCTGGTCTCGGCGTCCCAAAGTGCTGGGATTACGCGAGTGAGCCACCGCGCCTGGCCCCTTTTAATTTCTGTAAGGTCAGTATTCATAACACCCTTTTCATTCTTGATTTTGGTAATCTGTGTAGTCCTTTCTTTTATTCTTGGTCAGTCAAGCTGAAAGATAAGTTAGTTTTTTTTTTTTTTTCCAACTATTCTGTGAACCAATTTTTTATTTCATTGATTTTTATTTCACTGATTTTCTTTAATTTTCATCATTCCCCTCTTTCTGCTTGCTAGTATGAAATACATCAGTTTAAAACTTCAGGAATAACAAATGGTTTGTTTCATAAAGGAGGATTTGAAACCTTAAACATATAGAAATGCTTATGATATTGCCAAGTAGTAGTCATTTTCGACCAGTTAACCAGAAGGAAATTTGGTATGCTGAAACCAGACAAGTTTTTTGTTCCAGGTTTTATTAATTTTGAAAATATAAATCTAGTTTGTAAGAAGGTGTTTTTTTGCATGAGAAGTTTGTTTTTTTAATATTTAGACTTCTCATTTTCACTGAATCCCACAAATTTAATTTTTTTAAGCTTCAAAATATGTATCAACCAGCACATTCACTATCCTCTTTGTGCTTTATCTCTGATAATCCTTATAAGAGCACCATGAGTTAGGTACTGTTTTATGCCCATTTTACGGAAATAGAATCTTAGGGTGCACATTTAAGTAGCTCTTTCAGGTTTAACCAGTTGGAAAGTGACAAAATCTAGGTATGTCAGATTCCAGAGATTGCACACACAAATACTATATCACACTGCTTACTGCTGTGAGTTTGGCAGAGAATTCCTTGTTTATATGGAAATCACAAAACGGATAATATCCAGGATAATTGGCAGCAGTTTATAAACCCTCTTTACCGCTAATTTGGTGATTTTGTGTGCGGTCACCTGTCCACTAATCTAATCGGATCTTAGGCTGGTCACACTTCTGAATTTGCACACCAAGTTTGTGTGTAAGGGTACTTCTCCAGGGGAAAATATCTGTAGATTTCATCAAATTTTCCAAAGAGGGTTAGGCCCGCTACTCAGCGTTCCCTGGAAGGTGAGAGAATGCCATGTAGCCTACACCCTTCTCCACCTGAACAACTTCATACAGTTGGCTATGGGTTTACAAATGATGGGCAGGTAGGACAACTAGGAAAGTGTATGTGCTCATTAATACATACTTCTCCTTTAAGCCTGAAAAGATGAACTTGTGGAATTACAAAAATTGGCATTCTAAATATTTAAGTATTACTATTTAGAATTATAGATCTTTTAGTCGGGATGGTAGCATAAGGAAGGTCAGTCTGTTCTCAAACTAAGCTGGAGGCATAAGGGATTTGTTTAACTTAGTGGTGTGAACCTACAGGAAGTCGTGATGGTAGCGTGAGTCATCACTTAGATAAAGTGAGATTTAGAGATCACAGAACATGATATAGATTCTAGATATGAGATTCTAAACTCTGTTTGCTACCAAGGCACCCATTGCTAAAACAGTCTGTGATCATGTGCTCTCAGGAGGATCATATATTTCAGCTGTATAGTGCCAATTTATGTGCCAGTTATGTTCCAGGTATAAATGAAAGTGTTCTAGTAACACACAGAGATAATTATCAGACATATCTGCAGATGCCGGTTTCTCCACTTCAAACGAGTCAGCCAACTCCACCTGGAAAACGTCACACTGTTGGCTCTGTGCTTACAAATGATGGCCAGGTAAGATAACTTTCTATTTCTGCCCTAATTGTGACATTCTTAGTATAAGTATTTTCTCAGTGGAAAGATGAATATAAACTATATGTGTTAATTCTCTTGATTTAAAAGATAAGAATATGACACAGGAATTCTCATGTGAACATAAAATGGGAACTTTTTGCTCCAAGAGTAGATTCATTGGACTAGGAGCTGATGTTTTTAATTATCACATT